AATTAGACTGATGGCATTGTGTAAGGCATATGTCACAGGGCACTGCACACCCAGGTGTGTGTCCCCACCTCAGCCTCACTTTTCATATCTGATGCAAGAGACCATTCAGCCATAAAGAAGGAAACACCGTGGTGGTAACGGTTGTAATCGTAGACAGTCTGTCCAATTTCCTATTTTTTATAGGTAAAGATAGCATTGTTATGCAGTGTCATTGAAGTTTATGCTCCACTGGCTCAGAAGGAAGCAGTTTTTAAAGATGCAATTGTTTTTTCTTTTTCTTCCAGGTCCTCCAGTCTTGGAGACTATGAGGGAGCCTCTGTACCCAGGGAAAATGTTACCCTTTACAGGGGGGAAGGGTAAACCAGTAGGGAATACAGTACAATCCCAACCCTACTGGGAGGGGCGGGAGGGAGGTGTTGCCGTCACTGTATTAAGTCGATGTTGGGAAACGTTTTAACATCTGGAGCCTTTGTGGGTGGAAATCTGTCTCCAATTACAACTCCGCACTGGATGTGAAGAGCAAAAAAAAAAAAAAAAATACTCAGTCTACTCACAAAATAGTACATTCTGGAACATTATGGGGAATTGTACCAAAACAAGAACCATACAAATGATGCATAGGGAAAAAGAAAGGAAATTCTGTAGCGCACAATTAAAGAAACCTAAGAAAGGGGGTTATATACAGTAAAGAAGCTTTTTCTTTTTAATTTAAAGGTTTTTATATAAATGTTCCCGCATTATGGGGCCATGTTTTGCATGCTGATGAAGAGCTACACAGAGCCAATAAAGTGAAAATCAGCTTGCCTTCCCATAGTAGGAGCAGGTTCTTGGAAATTACAATTTAAGGTACCCCCAGAAAATGTTGAAAATAAAACAAAACAAATTTGAACAACGAAGCACCCTGTGAAATGCCAAATGAATCACTCCTTTTACCTTTGCGGGGTGGGCAGGGAGGGAGGAATAGGAGGGGTGGGCATATCAAACTAAAGTTGACATCTTAATTTACATTAAACATTAGTGATATAATTTGATGGTTGTACTTCATTAGATTTAATTTCTAGGCCAACACATGTTTTAAAGTGCAGTTTAAGGTTCAGGCATGCATTCTGGCTCATAGTGATGGAAAGTAATTTAAATTAGTGGGAAAGTAGCATGCTTGCATCACATAGAGTGAGGTTGGTATTCATTTACCTATGTTGCGCCAGTTTGTCTTGCAGTTTACCAATTCAGTATAGCCCTGCATTTAAAATTCTTTTTTTTAAGATTCGTGGATTTTATTTTTATTAAGAATATAGATATATAAAGTACTGTAGTTTACAGTTAGGCCTTGAAATATCTTTTTAGGATCTGTTAGGAATAAGATTGACATTGTATCGTGTGTAACCTGCACAATATGGAAAGCTGATATACCCGTGCAAAATCTTTGCCTCTGTGCTGTCAGTGTGATGTGCTTTCTGCATGGTTATATACTACTAGTGATTTTATCAAAACTTCTAAAACTTAAATTACATGGTAAAAAGATCTGTAAAAGGCTGCATAAGTGTTAGTTGGCACATAAAGACAATTGTAGAAGTTGAAAATGATTGCTATGATTCATTGTTTATTCCCACTCAGCATATTGCCTTCTAAACTTCCCTTTTTTGTTCAAAGCATGATCTTAAAGATATGTTTAAGTTAATGGATGTAATGCAGGGTTCCTACACTATTGGCGCATGTTGGTGGCCCTCTGTGCCCTAGATATAATGCACACAGGGTGCAAGTTAAAAGCTACAGAGTGAAAGTTGGTTTGGATCCTCTTCATTTCATTTGTTTGGCTTTTCTGTTATTTTTCTCTACTTACCATGTATTCCTGTGAATAAATCCTTGTTAAGTTAATCCTTTACTTTTCCTTTCATGTGTATTTTCTTATATACTGTGAATGTGAAAACCTAACTGGTACACTTGATCCTGTGTCCATATGAAAGTGCAAGTCTTTATTAATTTGGATTGCCTGAACAGTGTATCCCATGATGATGAAGGAAAATGGAGAGATTTTTCTTTTTAACTCTGCTGGTCAGAGATGAAGCCACGCCTTTCCATTTTTCAATGCTGCATATTTAATCTGCAACAAAAATGTTAAGCCATAACAGCCTTTTTATATTTTAGTTTGTCACCTTTGCATTGCAGAATAAATACTGAATAACCATTTTTATAAGCAGTTGCTCCTCTTTGCATGGTTCTATTCTCTAAAAGTGTCGAATGATACAGCCATTGCACTGATGTTTGAGCTGTGTGCGTGTGACTTTATAAGTACCATTTCAGACAATTTCTGATGCATGGTGGCATGCAGAAAGGTTTTTGTTATTGTATGTTTTTTTCTTAACATGTTCTTTCACCTTCTTGTCCCTACTTTGGCTTTGCAAATTTCGGCCTGTTGAGCCTGAAATTAAATTATTTTCTAATGCCCAATTTTTGAAGAATTACTACAAGTTAGATTCAAAGGTATCTGGCATTTTGCTTTCTAGTTCAGTTGTTTTACTGGGAGCTCAGAACTCGCTCCTCAGTCAGTCTCCAAAACCTGAGTAGGGTAACTATTTTGTCCTTAAATATTTAGAACTTATATGGTTAACTTGAATATTCTGGAATAGAGTAAACAGCTTTAAGAAATTGCCAGGTTATTCTCAAAATGCAGTAAAACAATTACGTAAAAACCTTCAGTAAATTTATCTTGACTTGTGATTAATGATTCTATATTGACAAAAAGTAATATTATCACTCGTCTGATTAAAAATTAGTTTCCCATTAGGCAAATGTGTAATATCAGAATGTGCCCGTTTCTGTACTCATTTCACCTATTTGAATATTGCAAGAAATTTTAATTTTAAAATAAAATCAAGTAAATATAGCTGGCAACCTGATACTAGGTTAAAACTTTTTTTTTTTATTTTTTCCATTGAGACTATTGCTTCTTGATTTATATTGTATTTCAGATAACATAGTATAGCACAGGAATTTGCAGAAGCCATTTAAGTTATCTTTTGAGGTAAGCTCTAATTTAGCATTTATTCTTCTGATGAAACTTAATACATCATGGGATATATATATATATAAAGCAATTTAATTCTTGTGGTGTAGTCTTAATAGTTTTGAATGTTGACTGAATGTCTATGAGATTGTGAGTTGTCTTTGTTACATTCCAGTGTTTCTGCCTCTTGGCATGCTTAGAGCACGGCTTACTTCATCTGCTCCTTACACACTAAAACGCTCTTAGTGTGGTCAACTACAGAAATAGCCGCTGCTAAGTGATGTAGATTTTCTACTTGAATATTTTTATGTTGTAGGAACCTCAGGAGGTCAGTGTTTACTGTTTTATATATGCCTTCTTTTTCCTGTTTGAGCTTCTCTCTTTGAAGGATTCTAACAGAACAAAAGCTGCTGATCAACCTAAGTTGGAAACAGAAAGTGTGTTTAATATAATTTAAATGCATGTTTGGCAGTTCCATGTGACAGTCCATTAGCAAGTAAACTTAGTGCCACAGATATTCATTTATTCAGGAAGTAATACTGCTTTTTGTATTGTCTGATATATAATGACTTCATACTGTGTAAAAAAAATCACTTTTATATTTTTTGGTTGGTTATTTCCAAAATAATCAACATGTAAATACCTTTAAGAGCCAGTTCTGATGCTTTACATTATCGCTACTTGCTTTTGTTATGCAAGTTAGATTTCAGAATAGACTTTAAAACACTTAACCAAGCCATTACATCTTAAAAACAAAACAAGTAGCTTTTTTTTGTAATTAACATATTGATAAAGCACTGTGATTTTTTTGGTTAAGACTTTTTCATTGATCTGAATTGCTTAAATTGCATATATTGTAAAATAAGATCAGATGTATATTTTAAAATAATTTCCACTGACTTTCCTCTTGAAATGCTTTGTCTACTCAGTTTTAAAATATTGATACAAGTTTTATCTCAGGTGAATACCCTTATATCATTTTTGCTTTCGTGACATGTTAATAAAGGGTCATCATACTTAGTCCTTTTTTTTGTTTTTGGTGTATTTCTTTGGGAATCTTCCCCATTTTTGTAGTTTTAGCACACTGCAGGGGTTTAGGCCCCTCCTCACAAGCCCTTTGTGTGCAGATCATTTGAAAATCTGTGTTCTGTGTGGTCCTCCTCCAAACACGGAAAAGAGGAAATTTTCTCCCCTGTATAAAATTATTCTGCATAGGTGAAATACCACGATTAAACTAGCTATGTTAAACTTCGGGCTTTTGCCATGAGGGGAAAAAAATGATTTGTCCCTTTTAAAATTTTTTTTGCTTTGTTTTTGCTTCATATAGTTAATCTATATTCATATTGAATGTATTAACAGATAACGGTGCAAAAACATTCTTTCCAAGAGAAGAGTGTATCATGAATAACTGCAGTTTAAATCCTTCCTTTGTTAGAACTTCAGAAACACAGCTTTGCTTATTGAGTTATTTTTGCAAATATTACAAAAGAGGAAAACACTACTTCTACTAGGACTGTTAATGAGGTGTAGGCATTGGAATCGATAAGAAAACTAGTCCACGGATAGTTAAGGGTCTGGGATAATCTGGGTGAAATATTAGATCAATAGTGAGCTGTGTTAAGAATATTATCTCACATTAATACCATGCAGTAGCATCGTATGCCAACTTAGTGCATTTTGTACTGTATTAAATACGGCAATACTTCTAATGACTCTTTAAAATTAAATTTCATGTGAACTTTTGGTTTCATTCACCTGTATACTTGCTGGTTAACTTGTGACTAATCTTTTTAGTCTTACATAGCTCTTTCTCCCATTGGCATTACATATGTATAGATAGTTCTTTATGCCTAATTATTATGCATATTAACTTTTAAGGTATACATTTAAATTGTAGCAACTGTTATGGTTTGTATCCCAGAATGTGTTGTGTTTAGATAAAAAGACGCATAACAGCTAAATGTATGCATGATTTTGAGGGAAGATAAAGTCTTGATTTTTTTTTTTCACTTGTATACTTTAAAACCAAGCCAAATCTATTTGCCAAGCAGTATATCACTCAATAGAAATGCCAGTAGTTTTCCTTTTATAACAGTTTTTATTTACCATAGGATCCCTTAATATTGTGGCTTAACGTACAGAATTGGCTATTCCACAGGTCGGATCATCTTTCTCAAAGCCTGCTATTAACACGGTTAGCCTATAAGGCAGTGTTGGTCCCCTCCTGATGTCGGCCTCATCGAGGGCTCTGCTGTGCTTTTCCTCATGCTTCGTTGTTTTCCTTTGTGGGTGTACAAGGGTATACTACCAAATTGAGCTTGGTGGATTTTTATGGAGATAATAATTAGACAATACTGTATAATTAACTACTCAATAGATTATCATCTTGTGAGAAGAGATTTCATGTGGTAAATGACTTCATATTATAAAGCAGTTTTACACTTACTATTCATGTTAACATTGGGTGCAATAATTTAGTAGCGTTAGCTTTAGTTATAAATAACTGGATCTTTCTGCTGACAACTTAGGTTGTATGAGTTCTGCTTAAAAGCTTTAAATCTGATGTTTCCTGTACCTGCCACACTATGTTAGAACGCGTCCTTCAAACATCCTCCTGCAATTTCTCAAACTGTACTAAATTGATACTTCTTGAAGTCTAACTCTGTGCTAACAGATCTTCATTTTAAATAGAATACGGTTTTAATTTTTGATAAGCTGCTGAATTTTAAAAGAGTTTTTTGGGGCCACCAAATATTTTGGATCATGCAGAGAATATATATTGTACTGTAGTAATTTTTGTATTTACATTTGTATGATGTGACATAGATGTGAATGTTAATCACTGCTTGACTATGTTAATAAAGTTGTTTAACTATTGCTGTTGCACTCTGATTTTTAATAAAAGGAAATGAGTTCACCTTCTCCACCACACTCCTTTTGGGTCCATTAATAATAGGTCTTGTGGGTCCCCAACTCCATTGTATATTTACTTGTTAAAGATGTATTGGTATTTTTCTTAGTTTATTGCACTGTACTGTCTAGTATTTTTTTTTAAGTTCAGTGTTTTCTTATTGATGTAGTGCATTGAAACCCCGTATTCCCTACATTTTAACTTACTCCTATTATTGGTAAGTTTCTGGGTTCAGCTGTTCAAGGGTAGACAAGATGCTACTGTACAAAAAGGGAATTAAAGCTGAAGCTGTGACTAAAACGTAAGGGTAGATTGCATGCATGAGTGTGTATGCGTGTGTGTCCTTTTATGGATTTTTGTTCATCTTTCAAGAAGTTAAGGCTTACAATTTTAGTGTAATATAGTTGCTGCATGTCACTAATTCAAATGTATTAATACATCCCAGGGAATGTGTGTACACAACTGTCAAGTATTTTGAGATTTAGAACATTTTAGGAGAAGGCAGATTTGAAATACCACAGTTGGTGTTGACAGGAAAACAAATTAGAATATGGGTATTTTAAAATCTGAGATTCCGAAATTTAGAATTTAAATGATGGAAGAAGTTCATTAAAATCAGCCTAACCATTAGTTCAGAGTTCTTAAAGAAATTATGCCTGAAGGTAAGGACCTTTTTTGTAAATCTTTGACACTTTAGTGAAACTGAAGTCCTATCCACTTTATGTAATTGATTTTTCTCAGTTCAGGTGACTACGTTAGTGATAAAGATAGCTCACCCGTCTTTTAGTTGACAGGCATTTGTATCTTGTCATTTCACAATCTGGACTCCACGGTGTACACATCCTGGAGTTGTTCAGGAGTGGCTGGGGAGAGTGGCGGTTGGAATTGTGCAGCTCTGGCTTTGGGTTTCCTCTGTCCTGTGTGGTAGAATGTGGAAATAGTGGTGCTGTGATTGCCATTTCCTTAACGTCCAGTGTCATGTTAATTTGGTGTGAAAATTTAAGAACCTCCTAAAACATCCAGTATTCATTTCAACTGTTTGCGGTTACAATTTGGAAAATTAACGTGATTTCTGATTCATTGAGAATAACACAGAATTGCTCTAAGAATCCTAGGCTTTCTCCTAGTTATTAAAGCAATTCATTTCTAGGAATATGACAACTTTCTCCCAATTCAAAAGTTTATTTTTTATATTGATTTTTCAAGAACTGCATTAAATACTTCTAAGAATAACAAGTGAACAATTTTAGGTGAATTTTAACAACTACCCAGTGATAATTTCTGTGCATATGAATGTACAGTCATGGTGTGCCCTTTTGTTTGCTGTTTGTTTTTGAGATAGAGTCTTGCTATGTTGTTCAAGCTGGCTTGGAACTGTGTAGGTCAGGCTACCCCCAAACTTCTGGCAATCCTCCTGCCTCGGCCTCCTTAGTACTGGGATTACAGATAGGCACCAACATTCCTGGTTGTTGTATCCAAAGTTTTAGTTGACACACATTGACATTATAACTACATAATAGTCTGTGAACAACTTGCACAACTGTTGCAGAATATTTAGAATTTGTTCCTAAGTCTTCACTCTTAGAAATTATACTCAGTGTTGCCATGCTTTATGGTGTGTTACGTGGTGGCGCGTGCTCACTAGAAGAAGCACGGTGTGGCTGGAGGTGATGGAGCAGCTTGCAGTTTCTTATGGACTGAAGGAAGATGGGGAGAACCTGAGGGTATCGTTTGAGCAAAAACTTAAGTTAGCCACAGTGCATTTCAAACCGTGAAGCTGAAAAGTAACACCTGAAACATTTCAACATTGAAGTCCGAGAACCAACGTTGTGTTACATTATGGGTGACGTCATGCCTTTAACAAATGTGACTGCATTGAACAAAAGTGGTGGTTTGGGGCAGTTTCGAGTAGCTATAGAGGAGTGAGACTGTCCGTGTCCTCTAAGAGAGACCTTGGGCTTCTGTCACAGGACCAAGTTGCGTGGAATGATAACCGGTTCAGAGTATTCTAAACACCAGCTCAAAAAGATGAAGCAGCATGCTTTTGTACCTAGATATTTTTGTAGTTATATTTTAGAATTCATGAAGCCAGAAAAAGGGGTTGTGTTTTGTGGTACTGGAGATTAAATTCAGGGCCTCTAGCATGCTAGACAGTGGTCTTGCCGTGTTGCCCAGGCTGGCGTCTTGTCTGGAAACACCTACATACACATGAAACTCATGTAATACATTAAATCATTGAAAAATGGTTATTTGACAATTAGTGGGAAAACCAAATACTTGCAAAGAAGTATGAATTTATAGCTCATGTTGTGTGCCAGGATTCTACATGCCATGAAATTTCTGCATTGAAAATTGTTTTTCAGATCTAATCTTCAAAAACAATCTTCTAGGGCCAGGGATATAGCTCAGTGGCATAAGCTCCTGCCAGGCAAGCGCAAGGTCCTAAGTTCGATTCCTGGTACCAAAAAAACCAAAATTTTAAAAAAAAAAAAATCTAAGCAGTTCTGAGACAAACCCTAAATGTCTAGAAAGAGAAAAGTTGATTTTTTTCATTAAAATTCTGTGACAAAGCTTTTAAAAATGTGGAGGAACTTAGCTCCCTTCAGAGAAAACGGTCTGTTTCCATAAGAAAAACCAATTTAAAAATAGGCAAAGAATATAAGTAGTTCACGGAAGACCGGATTTAGCTCTTGAAGATAATTCAGTGAATTGAAATCCAATCCACTGAGATCACTTGCACACACTGACAAAAGTCAAAAGGCATGAGGACAGCTCGGGGCTGCAGAAATAGGCGCTCATCTGTTGCTCAGAGCAGGTCAGTGCAGCACGGAGGGCAACTCCGAAAGCAGCAAAACTGCACACATGCACGCCTGCCTGTGTGTAGGGGCGTGCTCGGAAAGTAGTCCTCGGGCTCTTGCCTGTGTTTGCACAACTTCGAGGATAGGGCCTGTTGCTCCTAAACTGCAAGCAGGCACAGCACAGGACCGCTGCGCCTGCAGTGTGGTGGTAACTAGAAAAGCCACAGTAAAAACGTTACCGTGGTATTTCCACCTCCACATCCCACTGTTTTTTGCTTTTTGGGTTTTTTTTGGTACTGGAAATCGAACTCAGGACCTTGCACTTGCAAGGCAGGTGCGTGTGCCACTGAGCTATATTCCTGGCCCCTCCCACTGTTGAATGTACGATTTATTACTGCCTGACGTGCCATGCAGTACGTAACTGTAAACCGTCCCCTGAATGTTAACCCACGTGACAGCCAGTAGAGGGAAGGGGGCCGTGTATTTCACACTCCCTCAGTGGCGGGATTGTTTCAGTGTCTTCATATTCACAGTTGGCAAAAGATGAAAATCCAGGTGGTGTGCATTGCTGATGCGTGGTGGAAAATCAGGGCCTTAATACACCGACTTTAGAAAGTACTTGCCGCTGCCCAGTAGAGCTGAACACTGCCAACGCTGGGAGAAGTCCGCCTCTAGACTTGGAATCACGCCGCTTGCATGCCCAGAAACAAGAATGTTACCACACTAGCAAAAAAAAATTAAAAAGCAATGCATAGTACTTAGACACATCCTCGTGGGTGCTTCACACGTCGTGTCATAGAACCACAGAAGACGTCTGACTACGAGACTGTACTCAATTTTTTAGCAAGTTCACCCTTTATAATGAAACCAGTCTGAAGGAGAGGCGAATGTTTGGCAGCGCTTATGTATGGTCATTCAGTCCACTGGACCCAGACGCTGAAGGGCATCGAGTGTTTGCTCCTAAACTCAGCATTTTCTACAAGGCCAGGAAATATACTTCTCTATTCAACCTGCTGATAAACCTTTTGAAAGACGTTTTCCCAAATAGCGAAACACAATTTGCTACCTTCTCAGGAGTAAAATTTATCACAACTTAGACTGGAAAATGCAGTGCTTGCTTAAAAACCCTTTGTACACTTGGAAGAGAGGGAGTTTACTGAACCATTTCTCCCATGTATGTTAGGATTTTATCAGGTTTTTTTTACTTTTGTTTTGGGTGCCAGGATTGAACTCAAGACCTTGCAGTTATGCCACTGAGCTATATTCCCAGCTCTCTTTTTGTTTTTTAAACAGGTTTTTTTTAAGCCTCTATTTGTCAGTTGAGTCATGCACCTTTTTTTTTTTTTCCAGAGACAGGCTCTTGCTGTGTAGTTCAGGCTGGCCTTAAACTCACTATTAGGCTGTGCTGGCCTTGAACTCACAGCAGTCCTCCTGACTCAGGCTCCAGAGGCCTGGGACTACAGGGTTAAGATTTTTTTTTTTTTAAAGAGTAAAAGAAGGATAACAGTAATAGGGGAACTTACCGAATTACAAAGTGGTAGGAAATTATCAATGGTTGTTCTTTTACCTATTGGTATCTCCAAGATAGTTTCTCAGGAAAACAAATAGACAAATATTAGTGAGTTACAGACAAAAGTGGTAGGAAATTATCAATGGTTGTACTATACTTTGTTATCTTTAAAGTGATTTCTAGAGAAAACAGCTATACATGAGTGGTCAATTAAATAATCATTGACTATTCTCAATGGTTGTTGTTGGAAACACATAGTAATAAACATACATCCATTTACAAAATAGCATAGGAACAATACAAACATTACAAAGTTATGGACAAATTGGTAGGAAATTATCACTGGCTGCTGTAATACATGTTGGTATCTTCAAAGCGGTTTCTCAGGAAAACAGAGATATGCAAGAAAGATCTAATAAGTAGTTACAGGCTAGGGGTTGTGAAAAATAGCATATTACCTCCTCATCAGCAACTCCTTTCACTGAGGTGTGACGGCTGGAAGGAAGGCCAGGATTGAAAAGAAGGACCAAGAGACTTGCACCTGTGTCCAGCAGTAGGCTGTTTACTTTTTCCTCTACAGTCATGATTACGCAGGGCTCCTCCATGGAGATGACGGTCTGGCCAGAGGGAAAAGGCTGAGTATGCCCCGGGCCCCCTTATTCCTGTTGGACCAGCTGGTAGGTGGGGTCTGAGCTCTGGGGCCTTCACTTCAGAGGGCAGACCGATCTCCAGTGGTCACTTTTACAGTCAGGGCATGGCCTCAGGGCCTTTTTAGGGCAGTCTCTCTTGAGGTGGCCTGGCTTTTGACAGTGGTAGCAGATGAATGTAGTCATCGAGTTCTTCTTGGGGCCCCGAGAATCAGACTTAGGGTCTGTTTCTTTTAGTGCTGCAGCAAAGGCAGCTGCGTTTTCTCGTTCTCTTCGTTTTCTCTCCTTGGCCTCCTCCTCGTCATGGCTATAAAGTACTGAGGAGGCCATTCTTACTATCATCTCAAGTGAGCTATCTGGGGCAAAACCATTTTTTGTAGCTTTTTTCTACTATCTGGGGCTGACTGAGTAATAAACTTCTCTCTAAGAATAGTTTGTCCCTCTACTGACCTGGGATCCAGGGAAGTATGCTTTATCAATGCCTCTTGTAAGCAATCTAAGAAAGCAGAGGAGTGTTCCCTTTTTTGCGGGGGGAGGCCTCTGTCTCAGCTGTCAGCCGAGTACCCACACCTATCGTCTCTCCAGCCTCCCAGCGCATTGGGACCCCACAACCACTTAGTGTCCTCTCTGCAACCGTCAACACAGGCGGCAGGAACATGTGGATGAGGTCCTTGGCCTGCTAGTCAGTCTCAGCACCATCAGATTTAAACTGTCCCAGGCAGGTAACCTAGGCATGTACCTTCTCCATGAAGGCGGTTCTTCAGAATCTGAATATTGGGCACCCATGTAATCCATGAAGTCTCAGTGCAGACCTCTCCAGATCTCCACGTGCACCTCCACCACAGCCTGTACAGTCAGTAGGAGAATGGCCTCCAGGGGGGTCTCCCCAGGTGTTGCGCAAGGTCCTCCTGGTTTCCAGCTCCCGAACGGCTCTCACGTCCCCAGTCAGCTCAACCTCTGAGTTGTCAGGCATCGTCTCTCTTCTCGAGTTCTCCGAGTCCTTGTTTAGCAGCTGCTCCTCTGCAGACTCCGGACCTTTCTGGTTCTGAAGGGCAGGGCCAAGAGTGACCCATTGTATGGCATGTTTTCCCAGAGGTTTCTCCATGTCGGGATGGTTCATGCATGTCCCCGGGCAGGCCGATTGTGTTGGCGCTTCTCTGTGGCATGATAGTTCTCCACCGCGCTGCGGCATGTGCCACCACGCCACTTCCCGGGCACCTGCTGCCTGCTTCCCGGGCACCTGCGCGGCTGGGGTCCAGCCCTTGGGCTGGCGCTCCCTGCCGCGTGGCTTCCCGGGCACCTGCCAGGGTTAAGATTCTTAAAATGAATTAAGATTCTTTTAGGATTAACATCATGTAGTTTGTAATTTGAAATATTTCCACTAGAGGGCGCCATTTACCTACACTAACCCTAGAATGATGGTACAGTAGTTTGTAGAACATAAGGCGCTTGGTATAGAATGAACAGATTTCCACTCTCTCTCTCTCTCTCTTTTTTTTTTCTTTTTTGAGACAGGGTCTCTCTATGCAATTCAGACTGGCCTTGAGCTCACTTTGTAGCTCAGGCTGGTCTCAACTCCCAGTGATCCTCCTTCCTCAGCCTCCCAAGTGATGGGATTACAGGTATGCGCCACCAAGCCCAGCCCCAGATTTCCACTCTGTTAACCTCCTTTGCTTGGTGTGGTATTTTTAAATGAAAAGAATCTTGAACTTTTAGTGCAGCTTTTAAATTTCAATGTCATTTTCCCCTTGATAAACAAGGAACTTCTAAGTTATTTCCTGAAGTCCAGATACATGCTTTATGCTCTAAGCAAGACACCTCGAACTTTAAGATCCACCCAAGGCCCTGCTGAAAGGTGTATCATAACTCACTAAGTCTGGATGGGACCTGAATGTGTGCACTACAGGTTCCAAAGCAATGTTCAACTGTTTCTTTACAGACCTCACTTTGAGTTAGCAAGATTTGGAGAGTGCGTGGCAGTTTGACGTTCCGTTATGACAGCTCTGGGTAGTTAACATGTACGCTTCTCAAAGGGGCAGGGCTTTGTGTATTTTGTTTGCTCATGTGTCTGGAGTTCCCTGAATAATCCCTAAAGCAAAATAAATGCTCAATAAATATTTGTTCAATAGATGAGAGAAGACTGTGTCAAAACTCTTTGTATGTATTACCTCATTTAGTCTTTGTAGGAGCCTCTGAGGCAAGCTCTACTTTTTCTCTTTCACAGAAAGAGGAACGTGTTGTGGAGCCAGGGTCTACAGGTAAATATTTGAATCTACTGGTGTGGCTCCACAGCCTGTGCTTTAACAGAAAATAATATACTACCAAGTTTCAAGCAACCTGTCAGCAACAGAGGTCAAGGTGTAGCTGGTAAAGGGACCTGCCATGCTAGGGTTGATGCAGGTCTTCCTGGGCCGTGCTCTTCTCAGACTGCAGGTCGCGTGTCACCAGGCTAGACAGACGCCCTTCCCCCCAACCCCTGGCAGGCAGCGTGCTCCCCGCTGTCCAGTTCGGCCCACAGATGGTGACAGGGACATCAGGGCCGGCATAGTCAGCCTTTGTAAGAAAACAGCCTTATCTGATTTAACTGAGCCTTGTAGTTTTGCCAACCAAAGGAATAGTCCTGATCCCAAAACCGAGAGGACTGCCGAATGCAGACAGGTGCGCCTCAAATGTTCCCAGCCCCTGGTCGGTCACCTGTGCACCAGAGAACGGCCTTTAGAAGCCAAGATCTGAGTGCTGTGTGTGTTTGCAGTGACTCTTCACTGCTCTGCATCTTCTCCTTCCACAGGGCAAGGAAGCAAGCCTGGGTCTGCCAACTGTCACACCCACGTCTGTGTCTGTATGCGGTGAAAACAAACAGCTGTGTGCGGAGTCTCACGCTCTGATGCTGGTCTTCGCCCTCCACTGCTACCTGGCTCCTTTGCAATTACTTCTCTGGAAGTGATCAGCCTGGCTCCGGTTACCTTCAGTGTATTTATTTACAATTATTTGTTCAACCGCCATAGACATAAAGTTGCAGAATTAGTCAAAACACCACCGACTAGATTATGATGTTTATATACAGTTCTGTTTGCCCCCGGCCTCATGGTGTCCGACCTGAACAGCTTTCCCAGAGTTACTGAATCCACTTCTTTTCTCATCGCTTCCATCAGCGAGCTTGTGACATACACTTGTAACACAGTTAAGTTCACTTGTCCCGATCTGCATTTCGTATTTGGATCTCACATATCCCAATGTCCTGACTGATTTTTGTTTTTGAGACAGGGTCTCACTATGTAGTTCAGTTCTTGAACTCACTATTAGCCCAGGCTGGCTTTGAACGCATGGCAATCCTTCTGCCTCAGCCTCCCAAGTACTGAGATTACACCATGCCTGGCCTGAATGCTTTTTAAAAAATCTGTCCACAGTAAAAGTTATATTTTAGCTGAGCGTGATGGCATACAACTGTAATCTCAGCATTTGGAAGGCTGAGGCAGGAGGATTGCCATGAGTTCCAAGCTAGACTGAACTACATAACGAGACCATTGTCTCCAAAATAAAAGAAGTTATATTTTAACTAATGGAAGAAATCTTACAAATGAATAGTGCCATTATCCTGCAACGTCCCCTATGCAACCATTCTTCCCCTAACCTTTGACAACCATGGATATTTCCCATCCTTAGAGTTTTGCCTTTTCAGTATCACCTTATAAATGGCGTTCTACCTTACAGTATGTAGCCTTCTGAGTGTAACTTCTGTCACTTAACCAATGCATTTAAGAATTCATTTGTGATGTACCAATCAGTGGCTCATTCTTATCGCCGAGTGGTATTCCACTGTATGGATGTGCTGCAATTTATTCTTTTACTTGATTAGCTAAGAGCATCTTGGTTTCCAAATCTGGAAATACAAAGTTTCTGTAGACTTTCACATACAGGTTTGAAGGGGCTGGCGATATAGCTCAGTGGCACAAGCGCCTGCCTGGCAAGTGCAAGGTCCTGAGTTCAATTCCAGGTACCAAACAGAAGAAACCAAACCAAACCAAACCAACTAAATTGATCACATACAGGTTTGTGTGAACCCAAGGTATTCACTTGATAAATAGGAGTGCGTAAAAGTCATTGCTGCTTTAAGCCCCTAAATTTGAGGTAATTTGTTATGGAGATGTCACCATAGCTATAATTTTCATAAGTACTGAAACATCAGAGAATAAGTTGCAAGTACCTCTTTATCAGTACTTCAAGTCTTACGCCTAAAATATTCTCCTACATCACCACAGAAAAATAATAAAAATTCAAATCTAATTTGCAACCTTTACAAATTTTACTAATGCCACTTAAACCAAGAGAAAATTTCCAGGACACTCCTTCTGGGTTGTTTATCACTTTATGTCCTTGAGTCTGAAAAGGTTCATCAGTCATTGCTTCAGAACTACCCGCTGTGGTGTCTCTGTGTTTTCCGTACACTGTCTTCTCAAGCATTGCATGAAGGTTATGGAATTTATTTTTCTAGACAACATTGCCTTGAAATCCCAAAAGCTCCGTTCCCAGATTTCCAAAATCCAACCAATGTAACCAGGAAGATCAAGTTCTTTGAATTTGACTTTATCTGGAAAAGTAAGAAAACAGGATTGTCTCCATATTATGGATCTGTAAAAATCTGTCACTAGCCAGGGATATAGCTCACTGGCACAGCGCTTGCCTGGCAAGTGTGAGGTCATGAGTTCAATTCCTGGCACACACAAAAAAATCTGTCACTAATTTTCTTTGCAGTGCTACAATGCTAGAAAATTCCTTGTAGATTTCCTGATGGCTTGTAGGACCATCAGCAAATGTTACAGAATTCTCTAAATGCATTTTTACATCTGGAAAATATTTCAGCTGCCCATTTCCCAGATCTGGAGCAATGTGGCTCATGTACCATCAGCGAGGGCTCTGTGTGCCCCCTGGGTCATGCATGCCACAGGTTCACTACCACTGAACTAGAGCAAGCAACAAAATCCAACTGGATTACTTCTTATGGGATACAGAATGTTTATTAAGGAGGTTCAGGAAATTTATTTTCTTCTTTATTTTTTGCTTTGGTTTAGTATTTTTGAGACAAGGTCTCACTCTGTATTCCAGGTTGGCTTCACACTCATGGCAATCCCCTGCCTTAGCCTCCCAGGTGCTGGGATTACAGGCCTCTGCCACCAAGCCTGGCTCCAGATTTCTGAATAGATTTTTTTAAATTTCTGGTATCCACTATACCATATCATGTATCCTAAGGATTAAATTTAGAAAGTAGTACTGATTTATCTTGTACAGATTAGCAAAATAGAGAAGGAAGGAAAACTGGTTAAAATATATATTAATTTAATGACAAGGGCAGACTGCAATGGCACACACCAGAAGCCCCAGCGCTCTGTGTTTTTGTTTTTGTTTTTGTTTTTGTTTTTGTTTTTGTTTTGTCTTTTCTTCCAGTACCAGGAACTGAACTTACCACCTTGCTCTTGCCAGATAGGCGCTGTGCTGCTGAGCTAAATCCCCAGCCTCCACCCCAGCACTCTGAGAGGCTAAAACAGAAGGATCCTAAGTTTGGGCCCACCCCGGGCAACTTGGCAATTTAGTGAAACCCTATCTCAAAATAGAAAAATAAAAGGTCCTGAGTTCAATCCCCAATACTAAGAAAAATAACTGAAGAGTTTTGAATTCATTTATATATATTGTGGCTTCCATTATGTATGAGTTTATCTCTGCTTGTGGGGCTTTATCTCTGTTTTATGGATCCCATCATTTTGTTTTTTTCTTCTCCTGAGGTTTTGGGGATTAAGTTTTTGTTTGTTGTTTTTTTTTTGTTTGTCGTTACGTGCTACCAGGCAAGCGCTGCACTCCTACGCCGCATCCCCAGCCTTGTTTTAGTTTTCATTTCGAGACAGTCACTGACTTGCCCAGGCTTACTTAGTGCTTGTGATCCTCCTGCCTCAACCTCCCAGATACCTGGGAGCCGGGCGTGCACCGCTGCACCCGGCTTTTGTTAATCCCGTCCTATCTATTGGTTTGTAAGTGATACCTTTTAATGTCGTACTTTTATGTCGACTCAGCTCTTTTATTGTACATGCCTAACCTCTCAACCAGTGATGTCTAAACTGAATCAGGATCTTATCTTCTTTTCTTTTTTCTTTTTAAAAAATAAACCTTAGAACATTTTAACTGATCACTAATCTCTCCAATTTATGTGCCATTTAAAAATAGTTTTTTAGGTCTGTCTTTTTAAAAAACACATAAATTATGTTATTTTCATCTTATATATTTAAACCATTTAGATGTACCCATATATTATTTTATATCTCAAATCTTCCATCTAAAATCATTTTTTCCGAGACAGGGTCTCAATCTGTGGCCCAGGCTGGCCTTAAATTCACAACAATCCTCCTGCCTCAACCTCCCGAGTGCGGGGATTGTAGGTGTGTACCACTACACTGGTTTAAAAGCATGTTTACATACCTAAACCACATACTTTAGAATTTCTTTCAGTAAAGATCTATTTGTAGACTTTATTTTTTTTCTTTATGTTTTGTAAACGCTAATTTTTTTGTCTGAGTTTTTATTATTTTTAAAATTTTGCATGCTTTCTTAAAAGATAGTTCTACTGGGTACGTAATTCTAGGTAAACATTTCTTTCCCCTTAGCGCAGCAAAGTTATTATTCCCAGGCTGGAGATGTAGTTCAGTGGCACAGCGCCTGCCTGGCAAGCATGAGGCTGCGAGTTTGAGTCCTGGTACCAAAAGAGAGAAAAAAAAAAATGAAGATACTAATCCCTTCTTTGGAGACTTACACTGTTGAAAAGTCAGCTTCAGTCTAATTACTTTACTTTTTATAAGTGAGCAGCTTCTCTGTTCTTAATATCTTTTTATGTCTTTGGTGCAATTTCACTGTGATGAATCTGAGTGTGGAATATTTATTTTTTCTTTTGAGACAGCATCTCACTATGCAGTTCAGGCTGGCCTTGAATTCACTCTATAGTCCAGGCTGGCCTCAAACTCATCGCACTCCTCCTGCCTGAGCCTGCTGGAATTACAGACGTGCATCACCACACCTGGCTGGAAACACTTTTATTGATCTGGCTTAGGAGACTTCAGACTGACTTGCTAGATTCATTTATAGTAACATTAATTTTATCCATTCACTTTTGTCTGGTTCTAGAACAGCTTTAAATGTTGTTAGACTTCATTGTGTCATCTCCTAATATTTTAATATTTGTCTTTCTCATTATCTTTAGATATTTGCTTTTTAGCTCACTAATTCTGTTCTTTATTCTACATATTGTACATTTAATCCTTCCATTGAGTTTTAAATTTTAATTACTTTTTGAGCTAAAAGTTCTAGTTCATACTTTCTCAAATTTGGTCATTTTATATAGTCTCTTATCCTTTTTCATTATTTTCAATTGCTTCTCTAAACTTATTCAACATAACTTTTTATACACTGTCTGATAAATTCAATATCTGAATTCTATTTGTATGTCTGAGTCTAGTATTTTTGATATCGCTTTTACTTATGGTGCCTGGTTTCGTTGTGTTTGTCATTTTAACTCTGATGGTCTTATGTTTCTTAAAACCGGTTATCTGTGGAAATTCTTAAGACATGGATTAAAGCTACTGTCATTAAAAGGGAGTTTGTTATTTACCTCTGCTCCTTACTTGGCATATGAGTGTCCTAGGACCACTTTAAAATATATTTTCTGCTTGAGGTTTGGTAGGAACTTTTGTTTTTTATTGTAGCTAATATTCAGATCACAAATTCATGTAAGTGCTAGTTTGTAGTCATGAATTTTTAGCAGAGACCCTCTGCGCATCCCCCACATAAATTTCAAAGTTAGCGAATTTCCTTGCTGTCCCCTTCTGTGTGGAAGGTTTATTTCATGCTCATACTTACCTTGATAATATTGCCTCTGGGGACCCAACTTATGATAAAGGGTTTTTGTTTTGATTTGGTTTTTTGAATTTTTTAGGCAGGGTCTCTCTCTGTGATTCAAGCTGGCCTTGAACTCATGGTGTAGTCCAGGCTGGGTTGGAAATCTCAATGATCTTCCTGCCTCAGCCTCCCAAGTGGTGGGATTACAAACATGCACAGTCACACCCGGCTTAAAGATGAGGTTTTGATTTTTTTGTTTTGTTTTGGTTTGGTTTGGTTTGGTTTGGTTTGGTTTGGTTTTTCTCTGTTACTGGGAATCGAACTCAGGACCTTGCACTTGCCAGGCAGGTGCTGAGCTAAATCCCCAGCCCCAAGATGAGGTTTTAAATACATAATAAAATGATGGAAAATTTAATACATAGTTGTCTGATAACTGTTTATCAAAATTATAGATAGATAGATAGGTATTCAAAATACAGTAAAGTTTTAAAGGTAAAAAGGAAAATCAGGGGAAGTTTGTAAATATGCTCTTTATATTTTCATCCCCCTTGGAACAGCTTGACAATTTGGTGAAAGTTGTGAAAATCTGATGCCTACCAGAGTCTTTAGGAAAAGTTCCCCTATGAGACTGAAGCTTTGATTTTTGTGGAGACATACAGGTAGGTGATATCCAATAATAATCCTTTATTTTGCTCATGAACCTGCTGTGTGGAGAGGGCTTAGAAGGGAAGCACATCTGTGCCCCACATTTCATTGGCTTGGACTTGCTTGCCTGGGGCCCGCAGGACCCGTTGTCCAGATGACTCAGTCAGGACTGGCGCTTGGGTACCTGCAGCCTGGGATCACAGCTGAGGATGTGCCTTGGGCTTCAGTTCCTGGCCAGGGACTTCTCCACGGCCAGCAGCTTTTTCACAGTCCTCAGAGAACAATATGGATGCTGCATTGCCAGTTATGACCTGGCCTCAAAAGTCACATAGCACTATTTACATTCTACTCAGTGCCCAGGGGAGGAAACATGGATCTCATCTCTAAGTGGGAAAAGTATCAAAGTCACAATGTAAAAACAGCTTGTGAGGTGGAAAATAATGTGCACAGAGCTGCCTGCCACAGTTAGTCTAGCGGGGACTCCACCCCAGGAATGGACGCGCTCTTCTCTGTACCCTCCTAGCCGTGTTTCCAGAGAAAAGTAGAAGTCACTCCTGGTCAGAGAGGGCCTTCCAAGTGCTGGGGTCTAAGCAGCATCAACCACAGTCATGTGGGAGAGACCCGGGGCTGAGCACCTCCACTTACCTGCCGGGTGAATCTGCAAGTCCCCTCGTTGGACCTGTGAGAATGAACATGCATCCCCTTGCTACTGTCACTGCAGGAGGACACCTGCCTCCCCAGCACCCTCGCAGCTCTCCGGCCCAGGGGCACGTGGGCTTCTCCTCTCTGGCCAGTGAGCATGGCCTCCCTAAACAGGGGCGTGCAGGCCCCAGCTGGAGCCCAGCTGGACAAGTGCACAGCCTCAGGCTGGCTACCAGAGCTTCCTCAGGAGTCTCTCAGCAGCCAGTGGCCCTCTTGGTCAGATCATCATTCAGGATAACAAGCTCACAGGAAAACCACTGGCCATGGGAGGAGATGAAATTTAAGACACATGAGGAAGTGACTTCTGGTAAAAACAAGTTAAGGCATGAAATAGCAGGACTTCCGCTTTCTTGTTCCTTCTCCAAA